ATGATTGTTTCTACCTTTGGTTGCTATTGATTAATGTACGCGGTTCAACTTTATTTTAGTCAATCTGCGCTATCGAATACACGGCGCAGAATGCTTGATTCTATGAATTCCTTTGAGTTCTAACGATTTGCCATTTCAGTTCAAACGTATTCCGCTTCCAGTGAAATTGAGGTGATCAACAGGACACAACTTGGTTTGCCTATCTTGGAAGTGCTATGTTTTTCACACGGTCAGATATATGTACCTGGCGTGCTGACGAGTTTGAAAACCATCTTTTCTGTACACCGAAATAGAAACCAAAAAATATGGTTTATCAAGCAACGTTACATTGAAAAAAAAAAAAAGAAATGATAAATTCAACTTTCTTTTCCTTTCAAAGCACATAATTTGACGCAGGACAATGGCTGCGGGGCCAGCTAGTTTTGTATACTTACTAATACTTATATGTCTATATAAAGGAAACCCGCTTTTTGGCGCATTGCAGAATTATTTGAGAGTGTTTCTTGGATAGTTCTAATAAAAATAAACAAAATAATTTGTCGTTAGAATGAATTACTCGGAGCTCATATATATCCGCAGCAGATTAAGCGTCGCCACATATCGGCCTTGAACTTCAGTAAACGGAAGTGCATTTATATAAGTCTGCAATTTTAAGATTTCCATATCAGCTTTTATGTTTCATAATAAAACCTCTTATCAAAACTTCTCACACAAATTCTCTGTTGTATACGTGGTCAAGAGAATTCGTGTGAGGTTTTTTGATAAGAAGTTTTATTATAAAACATAAAAGCTGATATATACGTATGTATATATATATAAGTGTTTATAAGTAAACTAACATAACGACTACGGTGTTAGGACATCTAGAATTTTTTATAGCCAGAAGCAAAGGAAAAGCACTGCTAGCTGTCTAAGGAATTGCTTCTTGAAAGAAGACCTGGTTACATATCTAACCACATGTTTTGCTGTACTGGACTATTCCAATGCCTAATTTTATTTATAGATCTTTTGCAATAATTTTTTTTTTTATCGATTGGGTAAGTATAATGTGTATATTATTATGGAAAAGTATAAAATTTAATTATTTATTGAGTGAATAGTGAGAGTTTAAAAATTTGTGTTCAAATTGCTGCTTAAAATTTTTAAAAAAAGATAAAGCAATTAACACTCACAACCAATTTGTGGAAACAACACCCTGAACAGGTTGTATTATGTTTGCCACAAAGTTTGTAACACATATGTAGAAGGATAAATATATGTAAATTATCAGCATGATATGTTGAGTCCATTTAGCCATGTGTGTCTGGCTGTACATATATTGGCGAACTAGCCCCTTTTCTCCCCAATAAGCTGGCAATTTGTCGGAAAAGCGATATCGGACCACTATAGCATATATGTTACGGGAAACCTTTACATTCGACGAGATATCTTCATGAAATTTCGGATGGGTTATTGCCTCAGGAAATAAAGTAATCTTACCGGCGTGAGAGTCATCCAAGCATTGGCCAGGCATGGTGCCTGCTTTTCTTTACATAAAAACAGCTGGCAGACATGTTCACGTGAGGTCTCCTCATGATGTTTAAATCAAATTACATCGCGGCGTGAGTCACCTAAGATATGGCCAGACATGGTGCCAGCTTTCTTTTATAGAGTCACCTGGCAACCATTTTCCCGTAAGACCACCTCATGTGTTTTACGTTACATCACATTGAGGCACGAGAGTCATTTAAGCACTGGTCAGACAAGGTGCCTGCTTTACTTATATAGAACCAGCTTCCTCTACAGTCACCTTGAGAAGTCACAATGCGATCCGATTTCTTTTAAAGAGCTGGCGTGCAGCCAATTTCGAGTGACTATTAAATCAAATCACAATGAGGCGCGAGTGTCCCTAAGCACTGGTCAAGCATGTTGCCTTATTTACGTACATATATAGCTGTCATACTAATTGACCGATCCAAATCAAATTCGTGCAGAGGAAACTGTTTTATTTGACAAGATATTTTCACGAAATTTGGTACAGGTTATTGTCCAAGTTGCGATCTCCGAACATATTGTTTCTATGATATCGCAATGTTAATATAACTATATTTTTTCATATGTTTCTATTTCTTCGGTCACTACTGCTGGTTACAACAAAGCATGATTTTGTTCTAAAACAAGATGTGCTCCTAATTTGATATTATTTCTTTCAATGTATTGGAGTCTGGCATTAGCGATTACCCAAACCCGCGCAGAAAATTTTTTGTAACTAAGCGGATTTGGGGTTGAAAAGTAAATTTTTAAAATAATCTTCGGCCAATTGTTCTCAGTTTTAAGACGCTTTCATTGAACATAAAATGGTTTTTCTGCAATTTAATGCAGTATGCTCAACTTTGAAAACCGACAATTTATTTATTGATGTTATTATTATTGTGATACTGAGTGTTTATTTACATAATACATAATAAAAAAATATGGATGAACAAAAATGCACGTGATCCCACAATAATCGGTTATTAAGCATCCAACATTTCATTGTATGTATGTATGTATATACTGCAAACTTACATATTTATATCCTATACAACAAAGCGAGATCACGTTGTGTAAATATGTATTTACTTTTGAAATAAATATAACTGCAATCTATACATGAAAAAATATAAATAAATATTTTTTATATGTTAATCGTTGCATTCGATAAACACGTGCAACTATAAAGATTAAACATAATAATAATTAAAATATATTATATTCATTCCGCCTTTAACTACATATGTACGTAGAACATAATAATAACTTTGTTATAGATATACGAAAATATTTATTTAATCAGTTTTATACATTTATATACATACATATACTATTTATAATCTAAGCAGGTGTTAATCCTCAAATAACATTATAAATAAGGGAAGTGTATATTTTGATCAAATATGTGTTTTTCATTTAATTTTTTATACCCTGAACAAAGTATATTAAGTTTGCCACGAAAGTTGTAACACCCAGAAGGAAACGTTGGAGACCCTATATATAAATGATCACACATCCCTCCGTCAGTCCGACTGTCCGCTTACATACATATGTATGTATATGCGAACTAGTCCTTCAGTTTTTGAGATATCGACCACTCGTCCTTTTCTCACCAAGAAGCTGCTCATTTGTCGGAATGTTCGTTATCGAATTACTATATTATATACATAGCTGTCATACAAATTCAAATCTAGTACTTGTATTGTGAAGGGTATTA